ATCTTCATCCATCAAATCTTTCCCAAGCTGTCTCTAGGTTTGTTTTAAAAAATCAGCCTTTAAAAAATCTAAGACACTGGCTTGATTATGTTCTATTGTTTATATTTGCTTTCAGCCTGTTTGAGGCCTTTTTCGGCCTCCCAGAGGCTCGAGGGAAGCCTTTGCAGCCTTTGGAGGCTGAAAAATGGGCCCGTTTTGTCACTTCCAGCATGCACGGGGCAGTTTAGGGGGTGTTGAGCGCTCATGCGTGGGGGGGAGGCATTGCATTGTGGGTGTCAGCATGCACGCGTTTTTGGCACACCACAACAAAAGGATTCGCCATCAGTGATATACCAGATGGAAACAAATCAAGGAGAGAAGCAAATTAGAGCAAAGGAGAAATTTCCTGGCTGTTAGAACAATTAAATCAGGCTTCCTTCAGAAGTTGTGGTTGCTCTGTCACTGGAGGTTTTTAAGAAGAAGATTGGACTGGAACGATATAGATTTTCCTGCTTGAGTAGGAGCAGTGGTGGGATTCAATTTTTTTTTACTACCGGTTCTGTGGGCGTGGCTTGGTGGGCATGGTGTGGCTTGGTGGGCGTGGCTTGATGGGCATGGTATGGCTTGGTGGGCGTGGTATGGCTTGGTGGGCGTGGCTTGGTTTGGTGGGCATGGCTTGGTGGGCATAGTGTGGCTTGGTTGGCTTGGCTTGGTGGGCATGGTGTGGCTTGGTGGGCGTGGCTTGGCTTGGTGGGTGTGGCTTGGTGGGCGTGGCTTGGCTTGGTGGGCATGGCTTGGTGGGTGTGGTGTGGCTTGGCGGGCGTGGCTTGGTCGGCGGGCGTGGCTTGATTGGTGGGCATGGCTTGGTGGGCATGGCAGGGGAAGGATACTGCAAAATCTCCGTTCCCTCCCCACCCCACTTACCTGCTTTCCAGCTCCGTTCTCCTGTGCAGGGCAACCAAAGGAGACCCAGCCCATCAGCTGGGAGGCAGAGAAGAGATGGGGGCGGAGCTAGTGGTGGGATTCAGATTTTTTTACTACCAGTTCTGTGGGTGTGGTTTGGTGGGCGTGGCTTGGTGGGCGTGGCTTGGTGGGCATGGCAGGGGAAGGATACTGCAAAATCCCCAGTCCCTCCCCACCCCACTAACCTGCTTTCCAGCTCCGTTCTCCTGTGCAGGGCAACCAAAGAAGACCCAGCCGATCAGCTGGGGCTCAGGAGGCAGAGCATAGATGGGGGTGGGGCCAGTCAGAGGTGGGATTCCAAACTATTCAAAATTTCTGCTACCGGTTCTCTGAACTACTCAAAACATCCTCTACCGGTTCTCCAGAACTGGTCAGAACCTGCTGAAGGTTCTGGACCCTCTGAGTAGGAGGGAGGATTAGAAGACTTACAAGATCCCTTCCAACTCTGTTATTCTGTTCACCCATCCATCTCTTGTCTTTCTCCTGCATTGTAGTTTTTCAGTGTTGCAGGCGCATTCTCAACATGGCAAAGAGCTAGAGATCTGCAGAGTCAACTCTTCAGGAAACGCTGGGAAAACGTTGAACGTGTCAAAATGCTCTTACAGGGGAATCCTCTCTGAGCTTGGTTGCTTGCATGAAAGCTTTCTCTTATCCAACTGGGTAGCATCTTGCCACTCGCTTGGAAACATCTCCAAGCAAGCAAGCAAGCTCAGAGAACACCAAGGAGTCCATAGATGAACCCTGAGATCCATAGTATTCTCTTCCATTGGCTCCTTCAGGGTCTTGTTTTTCATGTAGAACAGTAGATGAAGGCCGTAAGTCAAAGGGTGTTGTTGTGGCTTGTATAGTGGACAATTGCTACGATGACGGAACATCCAGTCGACGCACTCTTGCTGTGAAGCAATCTGAGATTACTCACGTAGGGTCTCATCTGAATTGTTATGGTTTAGTTCCCCAAATTTGGCAAAACCCGTACATATTTTACTTTAGAAAAGCTATTTGTGGAAGAGTAATAGTCCACTTTCGCCTACCAAGCTACTCAGCATCAAGGAAAGAATGACTGGTTTTTCTAAAAATGTCCTGTAAGAATTATATACAGATGAGACCAAGTAAAAAGCTAAGGTGATTCAATTCAGTGTGAACTGAGTGTCTGGTTTTAATTACTTTAACCACATTTTAACCACTTACCAGTTCTCATGCAAAGGACAGATGGAGGTGGGTTTAAATATTGTACCTTATGGTTCTCGATGAATGTATCTTTTCTTTTTATGTACACTGAGAGCACATGCACCAAGATGAATTCCTTGTGTGTCTAATCACACTTGGCCAGTGAAGAATTCATTCATTCATTCATTCATTCATTCAAATCTTCCTTCTTGCTTTTGGGAAGCTGCATGGATTACATGCAGGCCAAAACATCAGGCCAATATCAACAGTAAGAGCTACCAGGAAGAATAGACCCGTGAGGCTGGAGGGCTAAAGATAGGATGCTTGAGCAGGGGTTGGACTAGAAGACCACCACAGGTCCCCTCCAACTCTGATATTCTTTTATTCTGCTGTTCTGTTAAGGAGAGCATCTTGCCCAAGAGAGCTTCACAGCCTGACTTTACCACTGATGTCCCCCCCCCACCACTTTTTTTTGGTCTCTCCACAAGTCTAGCTGGAGGTTGTATCTTTGATTCTGAGATGCCCATGAACATTCATGAAGAACAATTCAGACATACTTGAAGTCAGGGGTGGGATGCTACTGGTTCTGCCCAGCTCTATAGAACCGGTAGCTCTGAAGAGCAGCAGACACCGAACCAGTTCTGTGTTTGCTGGTGTTTGGCCCGCCCACCCGCCCACCCGCCCACCCGCCCAGGCTCTTACTTGTCCTTTATTTCCTGCTTTTTCAACCTCAGCTGCTTTGCGCGGCACAACTGAGGTTGAAAAAGCAGGAAAGAAGAGGAGTTTGAAACGCTGTGCACCTGCACACAGTGCTTTTCAGCTGTCTGGGCAGCACAGTCAGGGGTGGGATTCCACCGGTTCGCACCTATTCACTAGAACCGGTTGTTAACATTCTAAGCAGTTCGGAGAACCGGTTGTTGGAAGAAATTACTGGCCTAATCCTGTAAGGAAGGCAGGAAGGAAACATTCTGGTGTTGCTTACAGAAACTGCCTCTCCGTTAACCCTTATCACATTCTTGGCAGGACTAGACTTCCTGTCTCTGGAACGTCTCTGGAGTTATTTTCCCCTCCTTTGCTGGTACTTTGCTTGTGTGGAGTGACCATTCAAAGTTACAATGGCACTGAAAAAGTGACTTACGACCGTTTTTCACACTTACGACTGTTGCAGCATCCCCCCAGTCATGAGAGGCCAGGCGAGGAGATGCGTGCCTCAATGTGAGGGATATTGAGTTGGCCACACCCAGCCAATAACATGACCACCAAGCCATGTCCACCCACTAAGCCACACCCACAGAACCGGTTGTTAAAAAAATTGAATCCCACCCCTGGGCACAACTAATTTTTTTTACACCTGCGCACGCAAAACGTAGTCACCGAACCAGTAGTTACCCCTGCTTGAAGTGCTGCTTCTTAGATGAAAGATCACTTCACAAAGTCCATTTATCCAACAGGCAAAGTCTGTAGAAGGCTGTTCAAAAGGCATTGATACCTTGTGTGTGTGTGTGTGAGAGAGAGAGAGAGAGAGAGTATGTGTGTGTGTGTGTGTGTGTGTGTGTATGTATGTATGTATGTATGTATGTATGTATGGTATTCAGCTTTGTTCGGGTATTTTCCCACGTCATTATAGTTGTGCTTTTAAAGTTGTAGCAACGTTTCGGCAGAATCTCATCTGCCATCATCAGGCTTCTGTATAGTGTTCGTCTGTGAGTCAGACAGAAACGGCTGTGAAAGTCTGACTCACAGACGAACACTATACAGA